CCTGCAGCACAAATCAGTAGAAAACAAATTAAAAGCCTGCACTCATTCCCCACAAAACAGTGTATACGGAATAATGATGAATAATCATCGACTGGTCTCTAGACTATGTGGCGCATGAGCCTTTGCTCTTCCTCTCCTGTCTTCAGTGCACAGGCAGCTCGTTCCTCCAGGTCAAAGTTGAGTGGTTTGTCTCAGCACCCTACGCCCTCTCCAACCCCCTCAGTGCCCACAATGCACCAGTGAGGAAACCACACAACCTCTTTTGTTCTGTATAAAATGCAGGAAAACACACACAGAGAGAAATGTCCTCCATACAGGACGTGGTACCACAGTCGTGCCTTTGTGGCTCAGATGATTTTAATTTCTGAAGCTTGCAACAGCTCAGTCTCAACAATTACATAATAAAATGCAGCATGTGGAGTCACGTCTGTGTGCAGAAGAAACTAAACAAAAATAACTTCACAAATCAGAACCATGTAACCCAAGTCCCCCACTCTCAAGTGACCCGATGGGTGTCCAGACCCGTTTCAGTTTACGCACAGAGGTCAGGAAAGGGCACAGTCGGGAAAAGGGAATAGGAGAACATCAGAGAGAGAGAGAGAGAGAGAGAGCACAAAATGGAGGAGTGGCCTGTAGCAGGGGGGCACTGAATAAGGGAGGGAGTTTGGAGGACGAGGGGGAGTTCATGGAAATGCCTCCAGCACATTCGGTTCAGCTCCAATGGAGGAGCGACTCTTGACCAGCGGCTGGACTCAGGGGGAGCCCAGAAACAAAACCCCCATTTGATCAGGAGCCCCACAGGTCAGCAGCAGAAATCCGGGTGTCAGTCCCATAACCATCCCCGCAACACCCCCTCCCCACATGGAGGGCTACACCACCTCTCTGCGTTTTGACGGTGAGCCACCGGCAGCTGCCGTCACATCCTAAAACCTGAAGAAACCAATCCAACAAAATGGATACCGATATACTCTAAAATGGCTTGATTATGCTTACAAGCTTCCTTATATGTAACAAATATCTTCCTATAGCCCTACATGTGTGTGATTGTGTGTGTAGGAAGGAGCCAGCGATCAATACGGACTCCAACATCCTGGATAGAAATAGCCCTCCTTTTCATCAGCCGGGTCCTCGTCCTCGCCAGGCCCAGCAATCAATACAGGAAACTGTAATGTGAGGGGATGGGGAAGCAGAGAGAGGAGACCCACCATCCTCCACCACCATCTCTCCGTGGTAACCACCGGCTATGGAATGGCTAATTACGAGATGCTTTAAAATCAGAGGTGGCCCACGCAGAGCTGCACACTGGATCGTGCACAAATCAAGAGGAAAGGAGGTGTGTAAGAGACAGCGGTCACCATTTGGCATGGCGCCATTAAGTGGCTTTTTACACACAGGAAATGCTAAGTGGACAAAGCTGGGCCAGATCAGCTCAGATGGACATAACCCAACAGAAAGGGGGGCACGGGAGAAAGAGAGAGAAAGCTGGATGAAGGAGAGAAAATGACAGAAACACACTGGGGGAAACCACCAGCAGAGCCACTCTTTTGATGCTGACACTCCAGCCTTCCTCAACACGTTGTCATTAGTGGCCCTGACCTCTGAACCCTGCCCAACCCCCATCAAACAGTTACAAGCCTTCACGTTTCCCCTGCCTTAAATTAACAACATCCAACACCCCCCTATTATGACTGGGCCAAATATTTGATCTGGAGGAGGAAGCAGCACTAGATCATCTCGGTACTTTTATCAACATGAGAGGGGAAATGAACCTCGGCTGAAGGTGGGTGGTGATAAAACACAGCCTGCCAAACAGAACCACTGCTACAAAGCATAAAGAAATGCTGGTGTTGTTTCAACATTTCAGCGGTAACCACCTAAGGACATCACACTATGATTATACATAAAACCTGACAAATGAAAAAATATTGTTACTCCAATTTATTTTAAGGAGCTCACATTTTTTTATGCTATATAAAAGACTTTATCAAACAGCATTAACACAAATCTGTTTAAATATTAAGCTGTGTTAGTTCAACCTATAAAAGCGATACTAACAAAAATAACTAATGACATTTGACAGAGTTTGGATGATGGTTGCAGGTGGATTTAGGTGATTATGATGTTGATATTAAAGAGATTAAATTTGAGCAAACAGACGTAGGCCTATCTGTTTTCAAATACGTTTGCTACTTTAGAGCCAATCTCTTCTAATCTGAATCTTATGCTCAACTCTTACATTATATTTAAAATTTTCTCTCCCTATTTAAATGAAACCTGAATTTGAGTTATCTCCGTTTCAAACCCATTACTGATGCATTTCATTTTAACCGAGATAAAATAAATCTCAACAAATTTAAACTCATTTATTTATAGAAAAATTAATTTTGCACATTCTTATATTTGTCAGTTCATTCAACATCTGTTTGCTGATTTCAGCTTCTCAAACACGGGGATGTTATTTACTTATTTTTGTAATATATGATAGTAATTTAATTATATTGGGGTTTTTGACCATTGATCACATTAAGATGTGCCATCTGGGGCTCTGGGAGGATTTGACCCTTTTCTGCCAAGTAATTCAACAATTTAAAAAATATCAAAGTGCTGAAAAAATACAGACTCTGTTTGCATTAGCTTTGATTAACGTCATACTGCTGAATGCTGCAGGGGCTTCCTTGGGAAAGAGGTTCTGAACCTCATCAAGACTATAAAAATAATGGTTAAATAAAGTGTTCATTTTTTTTATCAATATGAAATGTAATAAATGTCAGAGCAAACATGTCCAACAACTAACTTGCTGGACAGGTCTGCATAGACTGTGTCCGTCTTTGTGAACTGCGTCTTGTTTCTGCTCTGCGCCGCCACATTTCCAAGTACAGCTCAGCTGTATGTGGCCAGCTCCTCTCTAAAGGAAGTCACATGACTAGTCTTTCTTCTTCTTTTGCAGTTTTAGATGTGCAGAAAAGAAGGGCTTGGTGGTGGATGGGTGTAGAGTGGCTGCAGGAGAGACAAAGCCTGATACTGGCTATCTGGGAGCAGGGATGGGTGGGGCCTGCATGCCAAACGGTGACACAGACCAGAGGTTAATCTCACTAGGGGCCCACGTTAACCTCGCTACAAAAAACACACACTCTCCCTTGTGCACACGCACACACACACACACTCAGGAACCTAAAACGTTTTACAGCGGTTCACATGCAGACACTCGGCAAGCCGCTGGTTGAGAGCAGAAAGTAAGAAACACACACACTTGAACGGGGGCTCCGTAAATTGAACACACACTCTGGAGGCTTCGGGAGAACAGCGGCAACAGCAAACTGTTCAACATTTCAAACTGATTACCGACAAAGGGCAAGCAGCCCCCCACCTCACCACACACCCCTTCACCCCACCCAACCCTCCAGCTTTTTTGTCTTTAAAGAAATTCCTCTTTTTGAAGAATGGCCAAGGAGAAAGCACCTCCCCATGTCCCAGCAGGAAAGACACACACATGCGCGCACACACACACACACACACACAGTTCCACTCAGAGAACCACTCGGTCCAGGTAGAGAAGGGGTCTGACACACAGAGATAAAGAAATGAGCTGTGTGTAGACTCACTAAGCAGAGAGGTGTAGAGTCTGACAACGCTTAATTACTCTGTTTCTCTTTCTCACACACACCTTCCAAAAAGGAAGTGATCAGACAGGAGCCCTGATGAAGAGGCCTCCCAGGAAGGGAACTCGCAGTCGGGCAGGGGCCGACCGCTGACTCACACACACACACACACCCTCCCTCCTGCTCCTCCACTCACTGGTCTTTTTCCAACCTCTCACTCATGTTTTCCTCCTTGGCTACCACTAGCACCCCACCCCCCACCCCCCGTCACCCACCTAGGAAAACCCCTCCTCTTTCTCCTGTCCTCATGCTCCTCCTTCGTCCCCACCTCATCATTCTTACATCCGTCTCTCAGGCTCAGTGTTGTACAGGGAGAAATCTGCAATCTTCCCACTTTTAAATGACAACTCTCTGTCCACTGCTTGTATAAAAAGCCTGTTCTTTATGCAGGTCTGGTTTTGTCACTGGTTAGAAATGTTGCCGTCATTGCAATTAGATGACGTGCTTGGAAATGCAGCTACAACAACAAACAACTAATCGATTAGTCAGTCAGCGGAAAACTAAACAGTAACCATTTTCATAATCAGAACCTTTGCTAGCTCCAGCTTCTCCAACATAAGGATCAGATGCTTTTCTGTTTTTGACCAGAAAACAAATTGATGTGTTTTGCACCATGTCTCAAATAAAACAAGTCATTTGAATACATCTCCTTGGGCTCTGGGAAATCACTTCTCACTATTTTCTGCCAATTTAAAGCCAAAACAATAAATGATTAATCAAAAAAAAGGGGGCTGACTAATTGATAAATGAAAGTAATTGTTAGTTGGATCCCTACACATATCCTGTAACAGACAGTGTCACTTTCACACTCCTTACAAAATGCCCCAATGTGCCCAGATCTTGACATTTCACAACCACCCGGAAATATCACAAAAATACTGAGACGACTCCCTGAGACACGGAAGGAGGAACAGTCAGACAGAATCAGTGACTGATTTAATGGGAGTGGAAGCAAATACAGGAACAGGGTGCCTTGCATCCAGTATGACAATGTGCTTCTGAATGCCTATTGTCTGCTCTTCATATTATTGTAAACACATAGCTGGAAGCAGGGAATGAACTAGTGTAAACATACAGTATGATTCATTGTATGAGAGTCGGTTCATCTCTCAGGTTTGTTCTTTTTTTTCACAACATTTTTTTTTAAATACATAAAATGCAATTAGCTACACAATTTGAGAAAATCATCATCTAGTGCAGAAAGTGAAAGCAACTCATTGCAAACACACTTTCATTACACCCACACAGTCTTTGAAACGTCACACATATGAATAATATTCCCACAGACGTCTACACGGCTCCAGCCTAACCTACAGCTTACGAAATGCTGAGGCAGACTGTTTATTTGACTTCTGCTCAGTTCTTTAGGCTGTCCCCAGACTAAACCCTCCTTCCCTCTTCCTTCCCTCGATCCACTTTTGAAACATCTGTGGCCAGCAGAGAAATGATGAGCCGGGAGTATGTAGATAGACGCAGAGCATTTAGTCGATCAGCCACAATATGAACGTATCAATCAAAAGCCCAGTGCTGCGATGTGCACTTTAGTGAGCCTGTGCCCACTGTCAAATATTCACAGCAGTGCTCACCAAAAACTGTATCCACATTAATATAACAAAAGTACATTTGGTATTCTGCACATCTCTGACATAAATCTAAGGTTAACAAATTATGAACACAGGAGGAATTCACTCCATATGCAGAATTGTACTTGTATCTGGCAACTAAATCTTCTTATAATCATCAGAATAACAGGGGTGTTTTTAATAAATACGTTACTGTCAAGATTAATGTCACTTTCATAATGAGCAAACTTTATAAATCACAAACACATAATTAAAAAACATCTGGTGCAGTGAATGCAACAAAAATCAGAGAGAGGTTAAACACAGCTGCACGACAAATAATTTAAAAAACAACAACAATTGTTTCTTTAAACTAAGCCAAACTCAATAGTCCACTTTCTATTTTAAGATGGATATGTGACAAAACCAACCTTATATCACCAAAGCTGTTTAGGTTCCACAGCAAAGTGCTGATAAGGAAACAATGTCTTGGTGAAGCCATGGTTTATTTTGCTCTGTACTCCTAATGTGGCCTGATAATGACCAGTGGAACT